TCTCTCTCGGATTCGTGTTCCCCTCGTGGACAATACCTTTGCTTCTCTCTATCAGCTTTGGATTGGGATCGCTTTCTTTTTCATACTTAAAATTATTATTCGCATCTTTCGAGTCCTTTTGGAGTTTAATGGATCATTTCAGAGTATTTAAAATTATTTTGAGTCACATTCATGTAATTTTGTATTTGTACGAATTTACGATTTTGTATTAATATCGGCAATAGCGGAACACGTCAGTACAATTGTGTTTATTATTCAATGTCGACCTTACCTATCCCGTTTGGAATTTAAGACATTGGTTTATTGGTTTCTCGATCGATGATTGGTTTTGTTAATTGATGTTCTCGTCCACGAATCCACCCCTCTCTCCACGACCCGCACACTGAGCAGCCGAGTAAATCCCGTACCCTCGTAATCCACATTTCTGCGTATGGTTTGCGATATGTTTCTTGTCGTTATTGGATTTTTGGGGACAATCAGTATTTAGTTTTAAGAAAATACGGTTCCGTTTGCGGTTTGTCGATTCCGCGTTGCTAAAAATCGGCTGGCGCCCTAAATACACGAAATAAGGATTGGATGAGCTGCTGATTGTTCCCGAAGTCCAGTGTTAGCGTTATGGTTTTTGGCGTTTCAGACTTGTCGGATTACGAGAACGAAGGTAATGAGTTGGCCGTGTTTGGATAATCGAGACTTCTGGGTTAGGGTTTATTGAGTATTTGTTGAGGCCAAAGAAAAATCATTACACAATGCACAATTTGAAAAAATCGGACGCACACGGACTCAAACTCAGATGAGGTATGATCCCTCATCTCCAGTTTGCCGGACTGGTGCTCTGCCAATTGAGCTACCGAGATCTCCTTTGCATATCCGAATTTCAGAACATGTGTATATCGTATATAATGCCCACACCCCCACCTTTCCAATGCCGAAATGGGAGAGCACTAGTCCGGAAAACTGAAGATGTGGGATCATATCCCAGCTGAGTTCGAGTCGTTGTGCTTCCGAATTGTTTAATTGGTGCTGTAACGAGATGTTCTTGTTATGGTTTGAAAACGCCTCAAATAGAGATACGAACTCTTGAATTTATGAAGAGAAGCAGGAAGAGACATCTAGAGGAGTCTAAAGAAGACGAGAATATATGATACGAGCCACATATTAATCAAAGACTGAAATCATAGCGGTTTTGGGTGAAACCGCGGCACCTGGAAGTCTGGAGCATGCTACTAGAGATTCGGTATTTTAGAACTCGCCCAGCTGTGTTTAGGGAAAAATGGCCCGGTATACAGAAGTTTCAACTGGGCGACTCTAAACGCTGTATCGGGATAAACTAGGGACCGAATCCATGTCTTTTCAACTAGGCGACATTTTAACTACGACATTTCAACTAACACTTTTTCAACTAGCGATATTTCAACCACGACATTTTAACTGCCCAACCTCAAATACACATCAGTGAGATGAGATTCCTAGAAAATCTATCTTTAAATCTCTTGAAACGTAAACAATTCAAACAAAATATTTGTGCGGTTACGAATTCACACACCTATCTCCGTTATTCGGTGAGAAACTTAAGAGAGGATAATCCTTATGAAATTATATTGTATCAATCTCGGAAGCATTTGAGAAGGGATAATCCACACGGAATACAATTTTTTTTCGTGTTTTTTAAAAATTGTATCTTTGTATGATTTAATCGATGTATTAGTTCAATAATTAAACTGAGTTGGATTACATTCTCTGTTAAAAAGCAAAGCAAAAAAAAAAGAGAAATTTCAGCTAATTAAAAAAAAAATTTACTAAAAATCAGTTGATATGTCGTAGTTCAAATTGATCAGTTCAAATGACACAAGTTGAAATATCGCAGTTAAAATGTCGTTGAAAATTTCAGTTGGAATGTCGTAGTTAAAATTTTAAAACCTCCGTTAAAACCTCCGGGATCCCGCCGGGTTGATTAGTGGGGATAGGATAAAGGAATGACCTATTGTCATTCTCTAGGCCCTAATCAGATTCTGAGTGAGTTGAACGCGGATGCTCGAGCGGAGATGTCGAAGGGAGTTCCCTAGAGTCAATTGTGGTGTTGGCTTGAAATATAGTCAGGGTCACGAGGGACAGGGGCGTAGCCCAGAGTTGCCAGATGCATCACTAATGCTAACGAACACAGGAGAATGCTCCTGCAGTCCCCTCAAATCGAAGAAGGGGTTATTTCGGTCCTCGAAGTAACGACTTCGTAGGGACCGGTATTATCTCGACCCGGATGAAAGCTTTGGACGCGTATGGGCCCGTGGGCCTGGAGTAGAGTACTCCTCCAGTCAGCGCAACTATTCACCGACATTTCCGATAATCAGGAACGGTAGATCGCCTTGACCGAAGTTCACACTGATAATTTCCGCGGCTGCAGGCTGAAATTATCCGACTGATAATTTCCCTGTAGCCTGTCAATTGTTTTCTATGAATTTGACAGATATTCCTCACATTTTAGTGAAATGTCTCCCGTAACCCCGAACACTGCAGCCTGATCGGCCAAAATCAGAATTGAAGAAATTGTCCTCCGGATACCCCTCAAAATTCATCGGATATTTCCCTCAAGTTTTCCTGCATATCAACATTTGGGACATATCCGATAATTTTGAAGGTTTTGAGGTATTATATCTGAAAGTCTTCCGAGTCGAAATACTCAGGAGAAAGACTAAAAGGATAAGTCGATAGATCCTCGAGAACCGACGTGAATCCAATTCAATGGGATAATTCGGCCGCAAGGCATAATACACGGCTTGAAAAGGCTTGTGAAGATGCGAGAGTAATACTCCTGGTAGATTTCACCCACTCTACCGTGTCACGCTAACGTTGGCTAGGCAGCCATTGTCCAGCCACAAAAGTCCTTGAGTAGATGAGATTGCCTCAGAGGCCGGTTTTCGTTAAACCTTCTGTAAAGGTGTGGCTGGCGCCCAACCAATGAGCGATGGAGAAGGCTAAAAGTAGTTTGAATTTTTTCTGGGTGAACCACCCGGGAAAATATCCTTACAGTGCATTAATATTTATTCAATTGTTTCCCTCGTATAGTGCTTCAGAAAGTTGAAAGATTGCATATAGCTTGCTACTTTCCGTGTAATTTATATCTTGAAAACATCTAACGTTTGACCCAGTAGATAGCTTAAAAATGTTTAATGAAGTTTGACCGTTATCGAATCTCACCTACCCAACTCATTTTTACCGACGATCGACCACAGGGTAATACTAATTCACTCGACCAATTACGCACCACGGGTTTCTGGTTCGTGATTGGTTGATTGTCACATAACAGAAGATAATCGACGAATTATAAACCAGAACCACCATGCGCACTGAGCACTCCCATCTCTCCTCGCATCTTAGAATAAATAGCCCTACAAATCCAAATATGGTGAAATATACGCGTTTTTTGTCGGAGCACATTGGACTTTTGTCTGTTTTGGATAAATTTTTCCTGGATTCATTGATTAAACTAGGAGATTACCAATTAAAACGAAAAATTAAGAATGACCGTTCTTGTTAATTGTCCAATGTAAATGAAGTATCAAAAACATACCTAGCAAAATAAAATAATCATTAATCGAAAATCTCATACCAAATTGTCGGTAGCTTTGCTGGCGACCAGAATCCAGGATTCGGTGTTCATTCTTCTTCGATATTCCACCGTGTAATAATGAATTGGACAACCGCCATTGGGCCACTGCAACAGATTTAACCGGAAAGAGGTGGCGTTCGCAGTGATGATTTCCCGTTCCTTCGGGAGTTTCGGTGCTGATCCCTTAGTGGTCGTACTGATCGTAGGACTAGGGTCACCGGTACCCACTCGATTATGAGCCGTAAGATGTCCCAAGTACGATGAGCCACATTTTAATCCACTCAAAGTAAATTCTGTCTGCTCTGGGGAGAGCATAATCTCTTCCCAATTTCCAGGATCTCGCTTGTAGCTTAAAACATATCCTTGAATCGTTGCCCCTCCATTCTCAGGATGATTCCATCTTAGTTTAACGCTGTGAGTGGTCGTGTACTGGAGCTCGAGAACTGGTGCTTTGGGAGGCATCACAACGACAAGGGTATAAGTGATAGAGTCATCGCCAAAAAGGTTAGAGGCTGAACACGTGTAGTTTCCGGAAACTGAGTGCTCTATTCCATGGATGTTCAGGTGACCTTCGGAAGTTATTTCATAGAGGCGCCCGGTCAAGACCTGAGTATTCCTGTGGGTCCACACAGGGCGAGGCGTAGGGTTGCCCACAACGAGACAGGAAAGAGTAACCGAGGATTTCACAGCGCGACGCAGTACTTGGGAAAAAGAAGCGACTCGAGCTGGTGCTCTCGTGTTTGTAGTCTGGGTTACAATGGTCGTTGGTTCACCCTCTCCAAGGCCGGTCATTGCTGATACCCAGAATTCGTAGAGTTGGCTGAGGAGATGATTAATGATTAAATCAATATTTATTAATTTTGGATATTATTGTGTACAATATTTTTATTAAATATTTTCAACTTTACTTTTGCAATCAGAATGGTTAAAATCCAATTTATGTTTGGTCGATTTAACATGGCTGGCTTAGCTAGAATAATATTTGTCAGGATTTTTCTCGCTATTTGCATGTTCTCTTGTTCTGTCAATGGAGAACCTCTTGCTTTGCCCAATGTAGTCTTCGCTACAATTCCCATGCGGAATTTTATAAATTACAGAAGAGCGTTTAGCACTACGAACAAGGTTCTTTCTTGATCCAAAGATTTTGTCAAGTTTATTATGTACTTTTGAGATTATCTGAATATGAAATTTGTTGCATGTATCTTTAAGCATTATTCACGACTCAAATTCGCTCATGAGGGTGAACTGCCATCTCTTGATGTGCTCGTCATTAGAAACGGTCGACATTGGACATTTGACCGATACCACAACCCGAAATGGTCCGGTCGAATGCTTAATTTTACATCTAACCATCCTACAGCCCATAAAATTGGGATTGTAATGAACCTTGTAGAGAGGTTTGTTAGAATTTATAATGATCGTTTTATGGAAAAAAATTATCATTAATTAGAAGAAATTTAACTTTCAATGATTATCCGATTCACTTTGTTAATAAATTCATCACTCAAACAATCAACTGCAGGGAATTAAGTACAGTCGGCACTAGCAATACGTTTGAGGAAAGAATTTATCTCAGAATATTCTTGAATATTCTCACCTTCAAACTTAGAAATTTATGCGGTAGGTTTGATAGTCAGATAATTTCAAAAGTAGATTATAAACTTGAAAATATCTTTGGCGCAACAAAGGACTGTGTTCGCATCGATAGCCGCTTTCTGTTGTTTGTATAATGAGAAATACCGCGGATGCCACGCACGCGCTTTCGCATCTGCTCACGTAGTGGCGCTTCGGTTTCCATCTTACGCTTACGCTTATTCAAGATTTTCGAAATATATCGAGAGCGATTTTCTCTCCAATTTTTTACGATATGATTCCCTGTAGGAACTGGAATGAGAATTCTTTCCATCCAAATTTCAGCCGATAGAATTCCAATATTCGACTGTCATTTTATAAAGTCAACACGGTATTTAACTGATACTTTTTGATAATTCAACTGGTACTTTTTCATGCTGATATATATATGAAAAACAAAAGATTTCCTGGTCGAATGAGCCCCTCATGGGAACTGACAGATGGATTTTGTCACGTAGTGCAATTCTACTGGCCGAAATTTGGATGGAAAAATTCTCTTCCGAATACCACTTGAGCTTCAAAAATAATCAGGTATTTCCCTCAAGGTTCTTTGCATACAAACAAACTCGTCAAGTTTTTCAGGAAAAATCACTCGTGCTTTGCACTCATGATTTTTTAACCTGAAAAACTTCATTTGTTTGCAACCAACCCATCGGGAAATCCGTGATAATTTTGAAGGTGTTGTGATATTACATATGAATACTACATTGGACAATCCAAGAGATCCTTTGACTGAAAAAGAGAACATGCAAACGGCGGGAAAAATCCTGACCAATAGCATTCTGGCCTAGCCAGCAATGTTAAATCGACCAACCATAAATTTGATTTTAACAATTCAAACATTCTTGACTTTGAAGGTATTATTTTTAAGAGAAATATTTCAGAAATGATGTACATTAGGAAATTCAACAACTATACTGTGCATTTCATTAATGACAGCGCAAGTCTTCGTCTTTGCTTTGATCAACTTATAAAATTTCACTAGATGTTTCCGTGGAAATACTAGTTTTTTATGATAATTAGATATTGTGCAATTCTACGGATCTCACTGTCACTTGTTGTATACGCATTGTATCATCTTGCTGACTATTGATACCACTAATACCATCTTCATTAGCGGATTAGCATTGAGTTTATCAGTGTTGACATACACAGGAAATTATGTTAATATACTCTCTCGGATTTCATCTGCACAGCAATAACAGTGTCTTTTGTTGAAATTTGTTGATTATTTTTCAACTTTTCATTTTTTTTCAACCACTGTTGATGACTATTCAACATTGTTAGTAGCAGCAGAGAAGTACAAGTTTATTATTCCTTTGACTTTTAGTATTTTAATAATTTATTGAAGATAGAAGAAGCTTAATATTTCTCAGGTTAGAATGGTCTTCATAAACAAGTAATTGAATTTGTTTATTTCATCCCTCTCAATGGTTTAACTAACTGATAATTCAAAACAGTTTTTTATACAATTTTTATTATCTGATGTAAAAGTAGTTCCATTGGAATTCTATTTTGGTTTTGATAAATTAGATTAATAAAAAAAATTACGTGAAGAAGAACGTTTAGTGCGTTCGAAATGTTGTGTACCTTCTCACTGAAATTGAGGAGTTTTTATTCTTGAGCGAAATTGCTAATTTTTTATTTGAACAATTGCTTTCAAATTCTACTTTTTTTCTATTTTTTATCAAACAGTTGTGACCAGGTTCACTTTTAAAATAGAATAATCATGAAAAAATAATAGATAATAGATAATTGAACAATGGAGATAATGCTGCATCTCCGTCTTTCACCTGAATTTCCCCAAATATTGAGAAGTTAATATGACCAAATGTAAATAATCCTGAGTTTGAGGAATATCCACAACACTGCAGAGTACATCAAGCCATCTTATATCCATCCACCTCGTGGAGGTGGTTGAACTGGCAGAGTAGAGTGTCAATGTTGGGAGATTGAGCGTTGAGTCCGAAGAAGAGGTGGTTTTTCTGCAATTCGATCAGGGGAACAGCGTAGAAGAAGAAACATAGGGCTTCCATGGGCATTTTTGTGACAAACGGGGTTATGTTACCCGGAATGGTAAGTGAGTGGGCTCACGCACTAAAACACGTGACTCATATGCATTTGTAATCAGTGGATGATTGGAGAAAACCTTGCGTTTCTCCATAATAAATTCGAGTGGAAATACAGGAAGCTGATAGATTATCTGTGATACTGATGGTGTGTTATCATCAATCGTGAGGTCGATAAAAACGATATAGACCACGTCAGTCGAGGTCAGTCAACTTCATCATTGGTCATGAAAGCGAGACACTCGACCCTGCATTCTTTTAGACGAACCTGATGATTGAGAGTACATCTCATTGGTCACCACAATGGAAGGGCCTAGCCCGGATTGGTGGATGGGAATGAGAGAGAAGATTGACCCTGGATGAGAAAGAAGAGGTCGAATTACGACACTCTGCGTGATGATGTTAGCGACAAGCAACCCCCTTTTAAAATTTAGATCGAGTAAAGAATTTAGTAAATAATTGGTTATGGAAATAATTAAACGATCGATTAGGATACTCAAGGAAGATAAAAATACCCGGAAAAGTTATAAATACCCAGAGGAACAAGGAAACCGAAGAAAAATACCGGCTTTATGAGTGGACATCTACACTGTGAGTACAGATAATAATTACACAGTCGTAGAAGTCATTGAAAGTGCGAATATCGTGCATAACAAAGTACGATCAAATAGAGATTCTATGAGAATAAGATAATAGGTAAATACAAATACCGGTTTCTCCCGGATTAAGTAAAGAGAACATTAATTGATCAATCGTTGGGAAAATCCGAGGAAAACCCGGAGCGTCACTGGCTACACTGGTGTCGCCATTTTGGCCATTTTCACGAAAATTGCAAATCGGAAATAAAATATATTCTACTGATTTATATCTGACCCATTCTCAATAGATCAGATATAACGACTATCCGAAAAAGCAGAGAAAAATATGGAGGATTTTGGAAGAATAACAGTTTTTAAATTCAACTCGAATTTCAGTAATATTTATTGTGACGAGGCAACCTTTTTATTTTTCATTATTTTTATACTTTTTATCTCCCCCAACTACACTGCCCCCTAATATTATATATTTGGCCACCGCTGGCTACTTTATCTTTCCCCCCACGGCTACTCTAGTTCCCTCCCCACCTCACCCTTCCGTCCCACTCGACCAGCAACGATGAGACCCCAGGATGGAGAACAGTTCCGGCCCTAAACGAAAAGTGGAACACCGGCACCCCAGGAAGAAACCCCGAAGAACGCCCCCTTCACCTCAGGCACCCGGAAAGCGGATGACGATTCCGCTCCTGGCCCACCTCGATCTGCCCCCCTGCGAAGAAGACGTTGACCGCAAAGAAAGCCACTCGTCTCACGACTGCCCCAGTTAACGCGTCGTATCAATTGTGCCCAGAGAACTATAACAATGTAAAGAGGATTGTTGGAGGATCTTGGACCTCATCCCACATCGGAGAGATCAACCAGGAGACCCTGAGGTGGAGAGGAGGCTCAGCATCCCCTGGAGAGGACCCCGAGAAGGCCCAGGTGTTAATTACCCCGGACAGTTCCACAACATCGAGAGGACCTGTGAGTACGAGTTATTTTCCCCTTTTCCCAGTCACTATTTCTGCAGCCTTATCTTCCCGTTCCGTCCCCCCAGCGGTGAGCCCACACTTGTGTTTCTTTCCCCCCTCCCAGTGAGATAATTATTGTAAGAGTCGAGACACCCCTAGACACGACTAAACTCTTCCCTTCTTTGTTAATTTGAGCCTTCCCGATATTCCGCGTGTTCGAGTCGCTTGGCCTTACCCTTCCCCTAGATAAGAGTCAAAAGGCCTCACTATCTATCTGTAAATTTAATTGGAAATACATCATTTTATTGAA